CCCCTCCCTCCTCCCCCAGGCCCCCTCCCCCAGGCCCCTTACCAGCTCGGAGTCCTGGAGCTCCCTGGTGCAGCAGGCAGGGACTGTCTGAATCATCAAAGCTCTCCAAATCTTTTCCAAAGATCAATTGAATCAATTCAGACCTTTTAATTGGTCCTCTGATTCTATTCAGATTCAGAGATTCGGCCACCAAATCCAGCCGAATCTCTTCTGAATCAAATCACCACCCAAAGCTTCGCATAGGCCTAACTTTGACCTTTTTTTTGTCCTTAAGTGTTGTATTTACTCCATGGGGATGGGTTTGGTAAAAAGAAACTAACACTTTCCATAGTTTCATAGACATGTTCCAATGATATCCATGAGATCTGGGTTAGCTCTGTAGGAAGGAAAAGCAAAATAACACTGGGGATTCAAATCCAATGCTGAAACTGAATGGAACTATTCTGAGTTTCTTCACAAAATATCAACTGGAAGGAGTCCAAGTCCAAGACATTGGTCACACAAATAAGCTTTTTCTACAGGTCTTCATTTTACCAGTACCTTCTCCTTCTGTCTCCATGCACAATCAGATGGTATTCCCTTTTGCTTCTAGAAGAACACAAGTAACATAACCTTTCATAAAGAGTGTGTTATGTGTCATCAGTACTACCACATCTATAGCAAAGAAATATCTGATTGTGCTGATTTAGTAATTCAACTGCATACTGGGCATCAAATTCAGAGGGGGTCAAGTCCACTAAAGGCAGGTGTGCATCTACTTATCAGCAGTTCTGTAAATTGCATTTTTACAAGGTGAAAGAAGTTATCAGAAAGAAAGAAATCTTCACATAAGTGCAGGGCTTTGAATTGAAAAGCATGCAATGCCAATTTCTAATGACAATGATTTTACCCCACTACAGAATCTCATGGAGGTACAAACCTATGTCAACATTTTACAGCAGATCATCCAAAAAACCCCTCGCGTGTCCTCTGTAACAGCTGGCGTAAGTGAGGTAAGTATTGCAAATAGTCAAAAAAGCTTTATATTATGAACACTCAATGAACAGTCCATACTGGCCCAAAGAGTCTGAGATACGCATGCTAGTTTTGTAGTATAGGAAGGAAGGTGGTGTTTCTGAATAAATATTGAATCCTAAATGACAATGGCAGAAAATTCAACTATAGGTTTGAAAGAAGGTATCATCCTTAAAAGATTGAGTCATAAAAACCTTGAGCAGAAATTTTCTTTATCCAAGTATATTCTGAAATGTGCAGCAGATGCCATATTAAAAGACAAGTCCAGCAGAAGTAGGTATGCTTCCCACCTCATGAAAAAGAGGAGTGGAAATTTGAAGCTTCAAAGATCTTCTTTTCCCCAGGAAAAGACAGTGGCGGCAAGAACAAGAAACCCTTATGCATCACAGAGATTGGTGTTGACTAGATAAAACCACATAAGACAAAAAGGGGGTGGGAGGACACAAGATGGGTTCACTTTCATACCACTGTGATACACACCAGAAACTCTTGTTTGTATGCAAACTACAAGAGCAGGTATTTCACATTTCAAAATAAGTGAAAAATTTTCAACAAAAATTGCTGCTTTTACACTGTCTCCATTGGAGACTTCTGATTGTTGACACCTGATGTACAGAACCCAGCCCTTATACCTTTGTTCCGGGCGAGCACAACCCTCAGACCGACCACAATACCTGTCAGTTGATTTATTGATACAGAGTAAGAACAGAAAAGCAACAATACAAACAATCAAACAATTCTATATCTACCAATCCTAGGGCTGTCATCAGAGTCAAAGTACATCTGGTCAGGATGCAGGCTCCACTATGAGGCTGTCTCGTAGTTGGCAGCAGTCTGGAGGTGCGATGCCGACGCCCACAGCCCCCCCTCCAGTGGGGTGCATGAGACAGGCTGCTGGTATTCCCTTGGTCCATGGAGGACTCAGGGACCCTTCCCAGGGGACAGGGGCAGGGATGGGGACACCTCTCAGGGAGGAGAAGGGAAAGGGACAGCAAGGAGAGACAGGGAGGGATGGGACGAAGGGAGGGATGGATGAGACAAAGGGAAGGACCTTGTTAATCTTAAGTCTCTGCTTTTGTATTCTCCTTCCCCCTTGATGACTCCTAATGACTATCTCTGGTTATCCATGGTTATCTCTGGTTGGTTGTCTCTGTGTGGTCACACATCCACATAGCCTTCTGGGCCTTCTCCTAATTTGGTCTGTTCCCCCAAAACTGGGACTTAGGCCCCCCTGCTCTTTGAGGCCTTGTTGCTGGTGTCACTTATCTTGTGTTATGGGACAGTATGGTACATACTTCTTTGGTTCCCAGGCTGTGTGTCCTTGTCTTAGACAACTTGTCTGCCTTGAAGGCTGTGATCTCGTGTTATGGCATGCCCCCCTCAGTTCTCAGGCTGTGTCCATCCATTGGCCTTGTTGTGCTAGACTGCCCGTCTATTTTCAGGGCCATGAGAAGCTGTGTGTGTGTCTCCCAAGCTCTTTAGAAATCCATTTAACCCCTACTGCTCATCTTGAAACCTTATAATGCTTATATCTATACTTATAAGCCAATTCCCCCCAAAACAGACCTTTAAATACCATTTCTAAGCCAACACTAATGATTAAGGGTATAACAAGGTGGGACATGGTTTCTATAAGGGATATATTCCCTTTTCTTTTCATAGTTACTGCTGATAATAAAATCTGTGGTGACACATTTACACAATCAAATGCTTTTTCTGGTTTTCTTTCAGGAGAAACAGCTAGCAGAGAGGCGAATTCCCATCCTGCAGAGTCAGCTGGAGGAGTACAAAAGCATTCTTTGTCAGCTACAGGCTCAGAAATCGAAATTGCAGAATGAGGTACTATATGGCTAACCAGAAACTCTACGGTGGGCATGTCTACTTGTGATACTATGTTGTCATAGCAATAAGCTATGGCGATGTAGCATCCTTGGGCAAAACCCATATGCCACAGCTATGTTGATGCACTCCCCTGTTATAGCTTAAAAATAACCATGTAATTGCACCATCTTTTAGTACTTCCACAAGGAGGTACTAAATGATGGCACAGTAACAACAGCTCCATAGTGGCATGTGTGGATGTGCCCAGTGAATCTTAATGATTCAACCTAATGCAACTTGAATGTCTCAAAACCTCCCATTAAAAAACTCATCATGGCTGGTATTTAACGGGGACATAAAGTATGTATACTCAGTATGTACCATGGAGGCTGGGAAAGTAGTGGTGTTTGTGTTTGTTTAATGTTCAGGTTTTATCTCTAGCTACTTCAATGTCCCTGTTTCTAAGAAGCCTTATATCATGAAATACAGATTAAAGTAGTTACTTTTTGCTGGTCAGTCATAATTATGGTGGCTGCTTAGTAAAAGGAGTTGTTTGCCTAAGTAAGCAAGAGACTCATATTACAGTTGGAAGTAGAGCCTAAGCAGGCAGATGCATGGCAACTGACCCTTACCAACTTGGATCAAGTATGAAACATATTCCATGATTCAGAAGCCTGAATCATGGAATGAGAAACTAGAGATCTTCCATCAGAAGAGAATCCAGCATTTTACACAATCATTAAACTTGCTTCACAAATTATTGGACTACTGTGGGTATTACTGGGTGAGGATCTATTGCTTGTGTTAACCAGGGAGATCAAACTAGGCAATTGAAATAAACTTCATGAACATCCATCAAAAATACATTTGAAGCTGATCACAGCAGCCTGTGTGCATCTCTATTACTAATAATAAATTAATTAGCCCTTCCAAAGGTACACAGAGAGCACATCTACATGAAACACTAAAAAGGCATGCCCTGATGCTACTGGGCAGTAACCCCAATTACTGCACATTGATTTAGTACTTGATTATTCAAGTACTAAACTTCATGTGCAGTAACTACGATGCATTAATGAATGTGTAGATGAACTTAAGAGTCTACTAGCAACCAAGATATGTGCACTTATATAGCACTGATTCAAAGGGAATGAATTACCAAGACTCATCCTGCAGCTCCTATCTTGTTCCCAGCTAAGAACTTGTCATCCAACACTTCCAAATGCAGCTTGTGCTTTCTGACAGGCTCAAACTGAACAGCAATTGTTTCATCTGCAAGCACAGCTACAACCATAGCCATGGATGTAAGGACCTCAGTCCACCTATATGAGGACTCTACTGGTAGTGGATAAGGTGAAAAATTATCTTAACCTGGCAAGTAAAGGCTCCTTTGTCTCTTGAGTGCTTGAACCATTCTGAGGGTGGTGCGCTGGCGCACAACTTCTTCTGGAGATCTTCAGCAGCTTAGCCATTAGACCACCGTAATAGGAGGTCTTATCCACCCTCTTGAGTCTGAGCATCTTTTGGCTAGTGCATCTTTTAGCTAGTGATTAGTGGGGTTGGGTGAAAGCCAGTCACTTAGTAGCCTGGCTACTAGAGATAGGCTAGATACTAGAGATATCTAGTAGCCTGGGTAGGAAGAGATCTTATACTCAAAGAAAATCAGGAACTATTATAGTTCTGGTCATAAGTGCAGAATCTGCTTTCATCTGGTTCATCCAAAAAGGCAAAGGTATAAGATGGTGAATTTCAAGATAAAAGCTTACTTTTCAAGGTCATATTTTATATTAAAATTCAAGTTATAATGGGTTAATAAAAAATCAATAGAACTTGATCAGTTTAAGAAAGGGATATATCATGTGGCTTTCTGCAAGAACCATGTACTGTAATCAATGGCCCAGCTACTCCCTTATGCTCTTATGTTCCTAGGTATTATATGCAAGTCACAGGCACCATTAGGTATCCATAAACCATAATTATAAGTAACCTACTGACCTGCCAGACTTTAAGAGTGGGATTTTTCCCAAATAAATGGCAATGTGATTTGTGTTCCTGAATTACCAATGCTCATTCCTTTGTAAGCATTTTTCCCTGTTAAACACCGTAGAAGAATTGACTGCATAGGTATTTATTAAATCAATCTATCAATCAGTCATTAGCTCCTTATAGACTGTTTATGAGGGCAATTTTTAATAAAGTGTGAATGTTTCTAAAAGACTAAAAGAAACATTGGATGGTAAAAATACTATATCACCAACTAGCCAAAGAAAAGCAGAAGGGAGCAGAAGTATGTGCTCTACTCTTGAAAAGGCAGCCTTTCTTTTCCAAGAGCTTGGTGCCATCTTGTGGTCAGTCTTATTTCCAGTTGTATTTAAAGAAATTTCATTTGTATACTAGGAGCTGCTGCACAGGAAATGAAGCTACTTACAGGCTACTTGGATATTAACTTTTAAAAGGAACAGTCACTAGGGCTGTGAGAAATTTTAATGAGTGTTTAATTTTGAAGCTGTTTTGATGTGTTTTGAGGTTGAAAAAGCAAAATCAAAATGAAACAAAAGGCTTCGAAACAGCTTTGAAATGAAATGAGGGCACTCGTAACGTTGCAAAAGTTTCAAAATGTTTCACATTTCAAAGCAGCCCCATGGCAAGAAGTGGGGGACAGTCAGGGCTGCACTCCGAACAGGGCCAGGGTCAGGGTCAGGTCCACTGCACTGCCCAACCAGCTTGCTGGCCAAATATGCCCTGGCAAACACAGCCCAGTGGCTGAAGTCTCTGCAACCCCACAGAGCTGAGCCTGGTGGCAAGAGGTGAGGGAAAGTCACTGGCCAGGGCTGCACTCAGAGCCAGGGCTGTGCTCTGAGCAGCTCCACCACTGGCTCTCCTGCCACCTCCCACCACCAAGTTCAGCTCCATGGGGCTGTGGAGCCTCCACCTGCTGAGGTGTGCTCACCAGGGCTGCACTCCGAGTGGCTCCTCCAGCCCCATGGAGCTCAGCCCGGTGTCGGGAGGCAGAGGGAGAGCCAGTAGTGGAGCCACTCAGGGTGCAGCCCTGGCTCTGAGTGTAGCCCTGGCCAGTGGCTCCCCCCTACCTCCTACCACCAGGCTCAGCAGCATGGGACTGGCAGAGCCACTCAGAGTGCAGCCCAGTGGCAGGAGCCAGGGCAAAGCCAGGGCTTTGCTCAGAGCAGCTCCACCAGCTCCACAGAGCTCATCCTGGTGGCAGGAGGCAGCAGGAGAGCCAGTGGTGGAGCCACTCAGAGTGCAGCCCTGCCAGTGGCTCTCCCCTGCCTCGCACTGCCAGGCTCAGCTCTGTGGGGCTGCAGAGCCTCCCGCTACTGGGCTGTGCTCACCAGGGCTGCACTCCAAGTGGCTCTGCCACTGGCTCTCTCGCTGCCTCCTGCTGCCAGGCTGAGCTCCATGGGGCTGGTAGAGCTACTCAGAGTGCATCCTGGCAGAAGGAGGTGGGGAGAGCCAGGGCTGCACTTCGAGCAGCTCCGCCAGCCCCATGGAGCTCAACCTGCTCCCCCAGCACTGCTGGACTCCTCCCAGGGGTGCAGGCCCCCAAATCTGTGCATGGGATGCCAGGAGGCGGCTGCTGCTGCCTAGGGCCAGTGGCAGCTCCAGTCTTCCCAGTGGTGGGCTGTGCCCAGCACCAGTCCCAGGCATCAGCATCAGCGGCATCCTCCTGTCATCCCAAGCATAGATCCAGTGTCTCACACCCCAGGAGGAGTCCAGTACAGCCCACAGTCCTCCCAGGGGTGCGGGCAGGATGGCACTCCTCCCAGGGGTGCAGGCCCCCAAATCTGTGCATGGGATGCCAGGAGGCGGCTGCTGCTGCCTAGGGCCAGTGGCAGCTCCAGTCTTCCCAGTGGTGGGCTGTGCCCAGCACCAGTCCCAGGCATCAGCATCAGCGGCATCCTCCTGTCATCCCAAGCATAGATCCAGTGTCTCACACCCCAGGAGGAGTCCAGTACAGCCCACAGTCCTCCCAGGGGTGCGGGCAGGATGGCAGGAGGCTGCCACTGCCGGCAAGTGACACAAGAATTGCTTTTAGCAGCTTGAGGTGCAGTCTCCTAGAAACCCCAGCACCTATCTCCTTGAAACCTGGCAGGCTTCATACCCTCAGAAAGGTCTACAATCTCTGCAATTTTCACCCCAACCAAGCAAGAAATAACAAAGTTATAGGCATTTTCATGATTCCCCATTATAGCCTATGGGTGAAAAGTTGAAAAACCGAAACAGTTTCGCCAAAACAAAACAGAACTGTGCATCAAAACAAAATGAAATAGAATGACAAACTGAAACACTGTCCCTTCAAAATGGAGAAACAGAAGTCGAAACTAAATGGTGCTGTTTCACACAGCCCTAACAGTCACACCGACATTGGTGGGTTTGAATCAGCACCATGGACAGGGAATAAATTGGTTTTCTGCCCCATACAACTTCCAAGTTAATTCTTGTATGCCATTGGAATAAAAAAACCTTAGAGACTTCTCTTTTTCCATGTGACTTCCCCTGAGTATATGAGTGTATCAAGGGCAAGATAAAAACTGTAACAATCCTTTTGACTGTTTGACTGTTACTCACGCATGGCTGTAACTTGGTCTGCTGATATTTACTCTGGATTTCTGCTGCACTAGCCTTACCAGCCATCTCTTAGTAAAATGATTGTATTAGTAGCAGTCTTAAAAATAATAGTTTTAAGACTTTTGGATTTTTAGCACTTTTCTATCTGAGGACAGCATCACATTAAATAAATGAGATAAGTAAGTAGTATTGTCCTTAACCAGCCAATAGGAAGACTGAGGTTGAGAGAGATTCAAAGCCAGACTTCAGCCACCTTCAGCTGGGCATGCAAGCAAAGAAGAAGAGATCACACCAGTTTCGCCTTGAAATTCCATGAAATCACCAGCTACCATCCATGTTCTGCTTCTGTTTGAGCACAAAATGCCAAAGGTGCTAGTATTTTCACTAGTGCTGTATAACCTAGTGGGTATTGGGTAGGTGGATTGTAAATTAGCTACAGTTACATATCTGATAAACAGACGGTACAAGGACAGTATGTGCTGAATCTCTGAAAAGGAGAAGTGGGAAGCAATCTTGTCCCTGCAAGTGCAGCAGCAGAATTGCTGCTATGTCAGTAACAGAGCTTGGAGTGACCACCCAGTGGCCAGCAGCAGAACCAGCAGCTGAACCCAGATCTTCTGACTATGCCTCGAGGCCATCCTTATTCTCCTCCTTTTAGTACACTGAACCTAGATTTTTTCAGCCTTTTGGGCCCATTACAAAGCTCAGCTTCTTCTTATTTTTCATAGAACTAGCAAGGGGGGAGCAGACACAGGTGAACATATTTATGAGATTTCTTGACCTATGTTTCTGTTGTAACTTTTTAATTTATGGTGCAGGTATCCAGAGTCTTGGATAAGAATACCTAGATATATTTGTAATTGAAGGAATAAATAAATAAACAAACATAATTAAAACGCCCATTAGCTTCAGTAGCAAAGCATCAGATGGACAGTGAATATAGGACTCTTTGGAGCTGCTCAGTTGAGACCCACTCTGGGTTTTTTTTCACTTTTCCTGTGACAGATAGCTTCACTGCGTGTCACTTCTTACCATTGTCCTCTTCCATTGCAATTAAGTTACTGTACAGAATTGTTCTCAACTTTCATCCTTCCTTAACAGACAACCATGCTGGAACAAGCTATTAAGAACACCCAGGTGAGTTATGATGATGAGATTCAGCTGTACAACGAGCAGATTGAAAACCTGAGGAAGGAGATAGAAGAAGCTGAGAAGACCTTAGAGAAGTACACCAATGACTGCCGCCAGCTGGTGATCTACCAGCAGTCCTTAGAGAATGAGCTGGAGAGGTACAAACGTATTATTGAGACTGAAGACAACCGGTAAGGCCTGTTCTGTATTCTGATGGGTTATTGTTATAGTATTCAAAAATGGGTGTTTTATCCAGACAAAACTCATGTGAATCCACTGGGATCCAAGTAAAGGAACTCAAGGATAATGGGCTTAGATCAAAGCCCATTGAAATCAACAGCAGAACTCCATTTGCCGTGGAATCACATAAGAAGTTTGCAGGAGAGCTAGGAGTAGAAGAACCCAGATTTCCTGCCTATTGTAGCAACAGTTTTAAAACATGCTTCCTCCTTGTTCTGCCAGAACCCAGACTTGGGGTCTATGTGTGTGTAAGCCACCATTTTTAGGCACCATTTAACTGCCTTCTTTTTATTTCCATGCCCAAATGACAGGTACAAATGGAAGAGAATAGACTGCCCTCACCAATGCTATAATACCCATTCAGACAGTCAAATGGAGTTAGCTTATCATCAGTTGGTGAATACTTGTGTTCTTTAAGCATGTTTAGCACAACATAAGGCCATTGTATAAACTAGTACCTCTTATGGCATCCAATTTCTTAGCACTTAAAAGTTTTGGGTCTAATTTTAAAGGCTTTGGGGTCCAATTACAGTAACTAATTTGTAAACAGAGCTCGGATGCAGCTATTCTGCCCCTACCCACTGTACCACTGGAAAAACTTTTGAGAGTGGAACTTGAAAAGTGAGCTGTTCTTAATGTTTCTGGACCTGATGGTAGTCACCTTTAGCCCTCTACTTTAAATGAGGTTTTGTTCCTACCTGGCTTCATATGCAATTGATCTCTCTGAGACATCTTTTTGAGCTGCACTGAAGGTAAATTGAGCCAGAGTGGCGAGGTGCCTGGGAACACCTATGCCCTTTGACCTAAGTAAAAAACAAGAGACCACATCAGTAGTGTAACTAGGGTTGGGCAAGCAGAACGCAACCCATAGGTATCAACTTGGGTGGGGCACCAGAATGGGAGTTCTTGGGGAGCCCATGCTGCTGTTACCACCTCAGCAGCAGCTTGAGTTTGGAAAGCTTGCACCAGGGCAACAGCAGCCTCTGTGCAAGGAGGTAAGCTCCCAGCACCACCTTCCTCCTACTCCAGCCCAGGATGCCCAGAATGATAGTTCCACCTCTGTATGAGAGCCCCTCTTGGTATAAGCTAGAATAACCCCCTGACAATAATGCAGCTCTGCTGGTTTTCACCAACAAAGGAGCTGATCTATGACACTGATGCACTGTACTAGATTCAGTAAAATAGTCATTTCATAAATCAAATATTTTGAACTGCTCTCCATTTTGATTTGAAGCAATGTAGACACATTAGTAATGAGGTCTTTTAAATGGCTTTGCTTCTTCAAGATATTCTGAGAAGTATGACTTGTGCTGATCTTCCCTGACAGGTTAAATTCTGCCATTGCTGGAACCCCAGTTACACTCTTAATGCAGAGCTACAGACCCACCCAAGCTTCAGTCTCAAGGGGAAGAGGTAAGTTTCTATTCTTTGCCCATTTAAGTAACAGTGTTTGCATTTGTCCTTACTGGAACCAATTATATATTGGGCCTGATCCAATGGGAGACTTTCAGGTGAATCCTGTTGGCTTTGGATCAAGAGCTTGAGATCCTGCTCACCTAACACAACTGTTTCCTTTCTGTACCAGTGGCATAGCAAAAGTAACTGATAGTGAATAATTAAAATCCACAAAGATAATGGAAAGAAAAGGAAGCTTTTTTGATGCAAAAAGTTTCATAGTATCAATGGATGTCTTTAATGACTGTCTCAAGTCTGAAAATGCTGCTCAAATCAAGAACTGAATATATTCTCTCATTAAACTTAGCCCCAATAACAGGCACGAGGAATACTTGTCTTGTTTAAGTGCTGTGATCCAGTTTGTCATGAATGGGGTGGTTTATAGCACTTCTCAGTACTGCATGACTTCTCAGTACATTTCAAACTTGTCAGAACAGTGACTGGTGTAGGTAACTGGCAGGGGCTAAAATAACAAGGGTTTTGTTAACAAAGGGAATGCATGATGGATATTTTACACACAAAGCTAATAGATGTCTAAGAAGCATCATAAATCCATGGGTAATTGGATGTTTGGTTGAAAAGACAGGATTAAAAATGAAGATATATTTTCCTGGCTCCAACTTAAGTTATTTTTTCATAGTCCAAATGGGATGTTTACCTAGTGTTTTGTGAAATAAATGATTGGCATATAACAAATGGAGCCAGACCCTAGTTGTTGCAAATAGGTGGAGTTTCTCTGAAGTCAGTGGAACTAGACTATGTACCTGCTGAGGAGTTGGCCCTGGTATTAAAATGTACCTCTGTACATGTAGGGCTATCAGGTTTTTCACTAAATATATTTTCACTTCTGTGACACTGGACAAGGTATACTTCCTGAAAGGTATATCTGTATATATCTTTCCCCTTGTGCCTGTGGTTTCTAGTGTCAAGCTGTGTATTGTCCCTTTGCAATAAACAACTAGGCCACTCACTTCCTCCTAAGCTTTTTTGCAGTCCAAAATTCAAGTGAAGAAGAGCCAAAGGTCTACCTGAGAACCTGGAGAGGTCTGATGCGGTGTGCAGGATGACCACCAACATCACCAGTCCAGTGTAAAACACACCAGCCAGTCACTTCCATTCAAAACACATCTGCAGGAGGAAGTGATAACCTTTCATGTAGGTTCCCAGTGGTAAGAGCATTCACCCAGGAAGTGAGACATGGGAGGATCTCTAACTCCTAAAATATTTTATAAAAGGAGGGCTGTGGATCTTTCTACAGCAGTCCTTTCAAAGGAATAAGCCCAGCCACTGTGAATCCACCTCTTGAGAGAGTGCCCTGATAATGGGCTACTGACAGAGGTGTTTCTTCCCCTCATGTGAGTGCCATTTAACTCTGCATGGAATAATCAAACATTCATTAGAGGTCTGGAAAGAAAACAAATGCAAATGCAGAAGGAAATCAAGTACAAATACATGACACTGTAGCCTCATTGCCTATTCAGTAGTCATAACTTCAGATTGTTAAGTCCTTTTGTGGCTCTAGTCCATTTTCACCAGTGTGTTCTGAAGGCTGGGGTCCATCCTTACAGGCAGTCTCCTTCTTTTGAGGGAAGGAAGGGCTCCACAGAAGCATATTTCCCCATTATCATCATATAGCAAATTTCCATATTCTCTGATCTCTGCTTCGGAGGGCTGAGTAAATTTCTGGGAAAAGCTTGGTGTTCAGGGGCTTGCAAATCCTTTTGGGGTGAATATATAGAAAGCGTAAGACAACGCAATCTTGTGTTCAGGATGTGAGCAAGTCTCCTGTCAGAATTCATGATGACAGCTGAGTGGTGTGTTGTTTAGTAGCTTGATCAACAAATCAGAGCCAGAGTCCAGTTTGTTGACAACAACAGTACACAAGAGCCTTCTACTAGGTCAAGCAGCTATATATGCTGTGAGGGCTCTGCCTCTTCTTCAAGTACCTTGTAGAAAAGACACACGTAACAACAGCTATCTGCAAATGTGTTGTCTGTAATTCCTCCGCAAGGAAAGGGGCAAGGGGAATGTTTTGAGGCACCCATGTATATTCCCCATCAGATTTGGGAGAAGCTTCTGTGACTGGCACATCTAGGAGTCCCATGTAATGATCATAAAAGCCATTTCAAATTGGCCAGGATTAATCCCTTCAGGGATAAGTGACTTTTGTTTGTACAAAATAGTGGTGCAGTGCTGTAATGTACTACAATGGTGAGACCTAAATGTGCCCACAGAGGATTAGGATAGTCTTTAGAGATGGTGATTCGGTGCTCCTGGTTTTCTACCTGTAAAGTGACCCTGTTTCCATTTGGTTATGAACATGTCTGTATATGCATAATGGATTCACAGCCAAAGCCATACAGTCATAACCGCTATTTTTATACACTGAGCAGGACATGTGGCAACTTTTGCAGTTCCAGTTAACTCTGCATGAAATATCAGACTCCAGGACAGGACATTGTGGCCCTTGGTGGTCAATACACTGCTTTATCATTTGGGGCAACTACATTCAATATTGTTTGTTGTTGCTTTGTTTTGGTTTTCTGTAGATATCACACGTGTTATTCAAGACATTGCAAGTGTAAAGCCAAGACAAAAAGGTCCACCAAATAAAATTTCAAGGAAAAAGATCATGCCTAAAGAAATAGCAGATAATCTTGCAACAGAAAAAATGCCTGAAAGAACTCAGGAAAGCTTTGATGAGGAGCAGTTAGAATTTAAACGCCAATGTTCAGTAACATGTGAAGCTGAACAGGAAGGATTAAAGATAGCTGAGCAAGAACCTGCCCCAGAGGATGTGCCTGATGGAGCTCAACTAAGTAAAGCTTTTGATAAATTGAGTAACATTGTAAAACAAAGAATAAGAGGCTACCAGAAACCAGAGCCTAAAAGTGATTTCTACACCAAAGGGCGCTATGTACTTGTTTCAGGGGAAGGCAGCTATGAGGACCCTTGCTTCCAGTCTTCCTCCATCCCTGCTGGGGGTGGGATCACAGTTTCCACTGGCAGTGAACAAACACCAAGTGTCAGTGAGGTGGAACCAATACCAGAGTTGCCTGAATCCCCTGAACCATCAGAAGAAGAAAAGAGAGAGGATGAAGTGCAGATTGTGTCTGAGCCTGAAGACTTAAGAGAGAAAGAGAAAGAAGAAATGCCAGAAAAGGAAAGAAAGTCAGAAGGAGAAGATGAAGAACCCACAAAGCATCCAGATTCCACTGAGCCTGAGGCTTTACCTCCCCCAAGTCCTACTGACCTACCTGAGCCAGGAGACTCAAAAAACATACAGCATGATGAAGATAGACGCAGTGGCCTTCCTTTTGGAGAAGCGACCTTGCCTGGGTCCATGAGCTATGAGAAGGTGGAAGTGGTGGAATCCATTGAGAAATTTTCTGATGACAGGATTCAGACTTACGAAGAGACAGCTATGATTGTGGAGACAACAATTGAGAAGACAAGCAAAAAGAAGCTGGGAGACAAAGGCTCTTAAATTTCATGATACTTTTTATAGTTGATTTGTCTGGCACAGTTATTCATTGACATCTTTTTTTCCCTGAGCAAATGATAAAATAGTGAGAGTTTTGCTGTTTGATATGAAATTGATTGAAACATGGATGACAATTCTATCTGATGTAGGTTCACCTTTGATGCAATGATCAACTTCTGCGAGAAACTAGTACTAGGCTCATTTTATGCAGCGTTATTGAGGATTGGATCAAGTTAAAAGTAATTGTTATTAAGTTGCCTGGCTAGGCCAGAAGTAGGTGATATGTACCCAGTACAAGTTAGCTACTTAAAATGTATATTCCTCTAATGATGCTTCTACAAGTTTCCCTGTTTCTCCATCAACTGCAATGTTAACTTATGACATCTGGTTCCTTTAATAAAGCTTTGACTTCTAAAAACAACAGTGATAGTGAATGTGTATTACATTTAACAGGACACAGTAATGCTAATAAATGCTAATAAAGCGACAGTTTCATGACTGCCCTGCGTGCATTTCAAGATGAGATATTGGGCACTTTAGTAGTAGCTTATTTCAAATAGTCCTCGTTCATAACCTGTACATAGAGAAAAGTGTTTAACACATAAAAAAAAAAAGTTTTAGGATACTTGCCAAAAGAAACTTTAGCTGTTTTTCTACTTAAGCACTTATTTTTAATTTCCCAAGCTGCCAAGAAAAAAGACAATAACGAGCCATACAAAAAAAAAGAAAAACAGGAGACAATATTAAAAAAAAAAGTTAAGAATGAGGTCTCCCATAAACACACATAAGGTGAAATGGGTCTCCACTGAAGACAATGGAAAATCTTCCATTGATTTTAATGGGGCCAGGACTTCACTTATATAGGGTTTTTGTTTCATTGCATTTATTTGTCATAAAATTATAGCTCGTTCTTTATTCTTAAGCATCATGTTTATTTGTGGTCAAAAAACAAAACAAAACAACCCCCCTTCTCCCCCACCCCTGCAAAAAAACTATCTTTAATTATAGGTTAAAATGTGGAAAGACCCTGGTTAGTGAGATAGATGGCTTTAGAGCAGAGCAGGTTGGTATGGATTGCAGCTATATCTAAGATTGTCATTTTGGATATTTTGTATGCAGATATTATTATTTTGGCCCCTAAAACTTAATTTTAAAACTTAACCTAGAAATCACATACATAAGCTGGAAAAAGCTTACCTGTGCAAGTGGTCCCATGAGCACTCAGTACCCGTATAAGTAAAGGTTTGCAGCATCAGACAACATATCTTGTTTTTTTGGCATGCAAGATAAAAAATGACTATTGTAGTGCCCACTGACAGGAATAACTACTGGCAGTCCAAGATGTGAATTTCTATCCTGTAGACAGCTGTTCTCAACTGAAATCAGGCCAAAAAGTTAAACTATGGAGATTTCTCTTCAGACCTATTGAAACATTTTATTTCAGGTCAAATCAATACTGACTATCAACTGTTTGAGCAGTGACAGTGCTTCAAGGGACCTGTAGTTCAAGTGCTATCTTATGGCTGGGCTTTCCATTGATTCAATAGCCAGACTACACTTCTCACAATGTACTTGAGACACAGAATGCCTATGGGGTGCAGCAGAAGCATCAAATGCACCTTGTGTCCTGGGTTGGATTGGGACTGCGGAGCTCCTTGCAAACTAGATATATCTGGGGAATGGGGTGGCTCTGGCCTGGGGCATGCAGCAGTAGCTCTGGCCCAGGGCACACAGCAGCAGCCGACTGGTTCAGGATAGGTGGCAGTGGCTCCACCTTGAGCTCAGGGCACATGGCAGCTCTGTCTTCAGCTCCAGCTCTAGCTCCAGCATGTGGCATCACCAGGGCTGACGGTGGAGAAAGTGAAGCATGGCAGTGGCAATGGGCCAAGTGGCCACAAGGTGACCGCATCAGTGCTCTTTCAACCTGCTGCCACTAAATGCTATGACCGCCAAATGCCTCAGATTCTGTGGTAAGCCATTATCCCCCTAGCCACATCCCCAAACTTCCAGTTTCCCATCAGTGGTCCAACAAGCCAGATAGAGGGGCTCTGAATGCTGGATTTGGCTTGTGGGCTATATGTTTGCCAAACCCTACTGTGCAGCAATAAGTCAATGAATGTGTGCGTGTCTGTGTGTGTGTGTGTGTGGGGTGGGGGCGTTACACTGTACTTGGAAAAGGTAGTGCAGTCATGGATCCAAAACCTATACAGGAAAATCAGGGAATGAGCCATTTGGATTCTAATCTTCGTGAACTACTGGAGCCATCAGATGGACAGTTATGTACTCTGACTTGATCTGAAACAACATATTGGAGGGAGAAAAAGTGAAATTTTCCATAGGAACATGAGGCAACTTAATTTTCTTGTCGGATGATACTCCCATCTTCATATTGCTTCCCTAATGTTTGTTTTCACACACACACACACGCCAACTCCTTTCCATGTGAGTATTTTCAATGACCTCACCCAGAAAGACATTATGATCATTTAGATCTATTTAGATCTATAAAGATGTTTACATAAGTGGTATTTTACTTAAAGGCAAAAGCTAGAATTCAGCAAAGTACTTAACCAGGTACAAACTCTCTCTATGCCTGAAGAAGGATGCTTTTGCCTGAAAGCTTGCCAGGAACAATGTTTCCAACTATTTACTTGGTCTAATAAAAGATATCACATTTACCCAAGAAACATGTCTGCCCTTAACCAGGTGCATATATTTAAGCATGTGGATAATCCCATTACAATTAAATGTGTATTTAAATCCTTAGATCAGGACCTACCTAAATGTTATGAGTCTTGATTCAGTTTTTATTCAAGCGAATCATCTATTAAAATGGCTGAATAAAGACTGACGAAGGAATCTCCATAATTTAGGACGTTCCTTAAGGATATGAACAACCTCTAACAAAACTGCTATTACAGTTCTCCAGGCTTGTCTGTTTTAGGTTCAGTGTAATCCTACTCCAACTGCAGGGTTGTGCAGTGGCAAAGAGTCCTTTCAGTTTCAATGACCTCGTCTACATACACAAATACTAAATGACTTTTGGCAACTGGAGTTACTGTGCAGTAACATCGCCAAATGGCTTTTAGTTGATGCTGACTGTGCAGTAGCTCATTACTACTGTGTAGTAGCGCTGTGCTTCATGCCTCACAATGCTACGGTGCAGTAGGAATGAGCTATGGCACAGTCAGTGTCTCGTGTAGACACAACCAATGTGAACATAATCAGGTGCCTAATCATCTGCTCATCATTTCATTCTGTTGGTCAAGAAGAACCAGATATAGAATAGAAATAAGATTTTTCTTGGCCAACAGAATGGAATGAGAAACTATCTTTGAAGCTTTTGATGCATTTTATTATCTGATCTAAATTCAGATTCCGATTGGTAGATTATAGAAAGTGGTATACTGTTCACTTAAACAGAGATAGGTAACCCACATGTTCATATCTAGAGATCTTAATTAATTAATTAACAGATGGAATACTGAAAAATATTTCTGGACTCAGAGGCCAAGCAAACTACTGAAGCATTATTATAAGCAATTTTACAGAACCAGAACTGCTTCCTTAGTTCTGCTGAATTATGACTGGGATATTTTTGGTGTCGTATACATATTTACAAGGCAAGTTATACTGAAGGAATTTATCTTGTGTTACTGAAATGCTATAGAACTAAATGTCATAAGCTCCTTTTCCATTGTGGTTCATTGTTTTTCATCTCTTTATATGAACACTGAACGTAATTGTAGGCAAGGAATATTTAAATGCATATATTCAGCCAGATCCTAGTTTTCTAAAAATTTCTAGTTCTCTAGGTGTTATGGGGAATGGGTGAAAATATTTCTTCTATGTAGTTCTGTGCACAAAGTCTATCACCTACTTCAGTCTCACTTAAGCGGAGTTAATGTGCACTTAGAAAGTGGGCAGATATAAACCTGATGACATTCAATACCAACAAATGCAAGGTGCTCCACCTCGGGGAAAAAAACCCACAGCATGCTTATAGGTTTGGCAGGGCTACACTCGTTAGCATAACAGCCGAAAGGGACTTGGGGGTCATGACTGACCGCAAGATGAATATGAGCCACCCATGCAATGTTGCAACTGGTAAAGCAAACAAAACTCTGGCTTGCATCCATAGATGCTTCTCAAGTAAAACCCATGATGTCATCCTCCTGCTGTACTCAGCCTTGGTGAGACCACAGTGGGAGTACTGCATCCAATTCTGGGCTCCACAATTCAAGAAGGATATGGAGAAGCTTGAGAAAGTCCAGAGGAGAGCCACATGCATGATCAGAGGGCAAGAGAACAGGCCTTATGAAGAGAGGCTGAGAGCTATGGGACTCTTCAGCCTGGAAAAGTGCAGGCTCAGGGGGGACCTGGTGGCTGCCTACAAGTACATAGGGGGTGTGCATCAGGATCTGGGGGAACACCTGTTGACCAGAGAGCCCCAAGGGATGACAAGGTGCAATGGTCACAAACTCCTCCAAGACCATTCTAGGCTGGACATAAGGAAAAACTTCTTTACTGTCCGAGCCCCCCAGGCCTGGAATAGACTCCCTTCAGAAGTGGTGCATGCACCTATTCTGGACTCATTCAAGAAATGTTTGGATGTTTAGCTTGCTGGGATCCTTTGACCCTAGATGACTTCCTGTCCCTGGGGCAGGGGGCTGGACTCGATGATCTTCCAAGGTCCCTTCCAGTCCTAAAGTCTATGAAATCTATGAAATGCTACTTAAATTTAACTAATGTCCTCAGAACTTAGGCTGCCTATACACATACTTGTTGGTGTTCTAATTAGAATGATTAACTGAATATACACTGCGTTCTAATTAGAACACTGCAGCATCATCGCAGTGTCACATGTATTAAGCCCCCATCCATTTAAAAATGGCCACAGGGCGCTTTAACTAAACCTCATAAAATGAGGTTTAAATAAAGCATCCAGTGGCCATTTTTAAATGGGTGGTGGCTTAATACATGTGACACTGCAATGTTCTGAT